TCTGATCTCCAGACCCTGGGGAAATGACTTCTTTTTCCCATGGAAAATGGCTTCCGTGTGTGGCCACTCGCCTGGGCTGACAGGGCAATGCCAAGCTAGAAATTAGCAATCTATGCTGGATTTCTCCAAAAGTAAAGCTGCCAGCAACTCGGAGCCTGCAACTCCTTAGAACCCCAAAGGCCACCTTTCATCTGACACCCAAATCTTGCGGAGAGGACTTCTTTCTCTCTTGGAAAATGGCCTCCATTTGCGGCCAGTTGCCCTGGCCAAACAGGGCGGTGCCAAGCTGTCTCTTGTAACACAGCACAGCCTCATGGAACACAGGTGCCCCTGGGACATTGCCACTGCTCATGAATGAATGTGTCCATTGTGAAGCAGCCGAGTCTAATGAAACACAGGAGAACATTGTAATAAAATGGACTTTCATGGAAGCAAGTGTCAACTCTTTTACAGCAGGCCCTCATGGAACCTAGGAGACCACTGATGCAAAGGAATCATGGGGAAAAAAGTTTCAATTTTGAACAATGTGGGGTTTCATGGAACACAGATGCCACTTGGATAATGCCAAGGCATGTGGAAGTCAGCGTCCACTGTGACAAAGCACAGCCTCAAGGAACTCAGAAGACCATTGTGACACAATGGAATCTCATGGATCCAAGGCTCTCCTTTGATTGGGCCTCATGGGCCACAGGAGCCACTGGGACATTGTCAGGCTTAGTAGAAACAAGGCTCCGTTATTGCACAGCAAGGCCTTATGGCCCCTGGGAGGCCACTGTGATTCAAAGGAATCTGTTGGAAGCAAGTGTCAATTGTGACATAGCAGGGCCTCATGGCACCCAATAGACAACTGTGACACAATGCAATCTCTGGGAACCGAGTGCCAACTGCAAACAGAGCGGGGCCTCATGGGACACAGCTGCAAGTTGGATACTGTCAGGGCAGGTGGAACTCAGTGTCCATTGTGACACAACACAGGCTCATTAATAATAGCAGAGCACAGTGACACCATGGAATCTTTGGGAACCATGGGTCACTTGTAAACACAGCCGAGCTCCATGGAACCAAGGAGACCACTGTGGTGCAATAAAATCCCAAGGAAACAAGGGTTTTATACGGTTATAAACACATCAGGCTCTCATGAAACTAAAGGGAACATTGTGATGCAGTGGAATCTCATGGATTCAAGGCTCTACTTTGAGCAAGACAGGCCTCATGGAACACAGGTGCTACTGGAACATTGCAAGGCCTAGTAGAAACAAGGTTCCATTATTGCACAAAAAGGCCTCATGGCATCTGGGTGGCTACTGTGTCACAATGGCATCTGATAGAAGTAAGTTTTCATGGAGACACCAAAGGACCTCATGGCACCCAGGAGACCACTGTGACGTCATGTGATCTTGGGGAATGCAGTGTCAACTGCAAACATGGCAGGGCCTCATGGAACACAGGTGCCACTGGGATATCCCCCTTGCTCATGGAAGCAAGTGTCCATTATGACATAGACAGGTCTTATGGAACATAGGAGACCACTGTGACACAAGAAAATTTCAAGATACTAAGACTCCATTGCGACACAGAGGGCCATCATGGAACCAAGATAACCACTGTGAGGCAATAGCCTTATGGAACAAAGAGTAAGTTGTCAACACAGCAGGGCTTCATGGATCCCTAGTGCCAATGAGACATTTCCAAGACTTGTGCAAGCAAGTGTCCATTGTGACACAGCCAGGCCTAATGGAACACAGAAGAACATTGTTAGACCATGAAATCTCATAGAAGCAAGTGCCAACTCTTTCACAGCAGGGCCTCATGGAACCCAGGAGACCGCTGTGATGCAATCGAGTCTTGGGGAAAAAAGTTTCAATTTTGAACAACACAGGGATTCATGGAACACAGGTTCCACTTGTGTACTGCCAGGGAAGGTGGAACTAGGTGTCCATTGGAACACAGTAGAGACTCATGGAAGTCAGAAGACTATTGTGATGCAATGGAATCTCAAGGATCTACTTTGATTAAGTGGGACATCATGGGTAACAGGTGTCCCTGGGACATTGCCAGGCCTAGTAGGAACAAGGCTCCATTTTTCAAAGCATGCCCTCAGGGCATCTAGAAGGCCACTCTGTTGTAAAGGAGTATGATGGAAGCAAGTGTCCATTGCAACATAGGAACACCTCACGGCACCCAGGAGGCCATGGAGACACAATGCAATCTCTGGGAACCAAGTGGCAACTGCAAACTCTAACCCCTAACCTTAACCCCTTACCCGAATCCTCTGCCCTTCTCCATCCCCACTGCCCCTCTGTTGTATTGCACTAAATAGTTATTTGGTTGTTTGCACTGGGTGTTTGGTAATTTGCACTGTTCACATGATTTGTATCCTATGACCACATGGTCTCCCCTCCCCCCCCCCCTCCCCGCCAAGTGTCAGCATTGGTGGTCTCTTCCTGGGTTACCCCTCCCCTTGCCCCTCCTCACAGATATCCCATTGGCTGTGGTCCTCTTCCTCTGCCCCCACTTCCCCCGGGTATAAAAACCCCTTAGAGGCAGCTGGCTGGCCTCTTTTTTCCATGTGGGGTTTTCCATCTGATGGTTCTTTTGGGAATAAAGAGAGGACATTCATTCCCACATGGAGAAGAGTGCTTCTTGTCTTTTGCCTTTGTCCACGTAAGATTGTGTGGGCTGGGGTCCATAGCTAGTCGGATTGGACCTGTACAGCCTGTCCAGACATGGATTCGTACACCCCACCACCCCTGTCCTCACACGAGGAAGCACTGCAAGCCATACTGCACTGCAAGCTGGAAGCTGAGGTCTAGGTTGTGCTCAAGAATGCTGGAAAACACCTTTCTGAGAAGAGCTGTCTTCCCAAAATGCAATTTTGCATTCTTTCCCAAAGTTCATTTTTAGCCTGCCACCATCTTGGGAAGGATATCTTGACTCACATGCCCGTGCCACCATCTTGAGTGTACCTGTAGTGACTTCTGACCATTACTGCCATCTTGAGTGTGGTGTGATGCAATTTCTGGTAAATCCCCACCATCTTGAGAGTAGCACTACGAGTTTGTTCTGGATCCACCATGTTGACTGCTATGGCACGTGACTTCCTGTCATGCTCGCCATCTTGAGAGTGGACTGATGCCAATTCCTGACTCCTCTACCATCTTGAGCACATTATCATCACAGAATCACAGAATCACTAGGTTGGAAGAGACCTTTAAGATCATCTAGTCCAACCCATGCCCTAACACCAGCTCAACTAAACCACGGCACTGAGTGCCACATCCAATCTTTTTTTAAACACATCCAGGGATGGTGACTCCACCACCTCCCTGGGCAGACGATTTCAGTTCTTTATCATTCTTTCAGTAAAAAACTTTTTCCTAACATCCCACCTAAGTTTCCCTTGGCACAGCTTAAGAATGTGTCCTCTCGTTCTGTCGGTTGTTGCCTGGAAAAATAGACTACCCCCCACCTGACGACAACCGCCTTTCAAGTAGTTGTAGAGAGTGATAAAGTCACCTCTGAGTCTCCTTTCCTCCAGCCTAAACAACCCCAGCTCCCTCAGTGTTTACTCGCAGGGCTTGTGCTCCAAGCCCTTCAAGTCCTGTGACTTCCTGCAGCCAAAGCCTAACAGCACATGGCAAGAGCCCTCCTTCCTCATTTGGCTCACTACAACCCTCCTCAGCCACTGCCGAGGCAGGTGGGTCCCGCACCTGGTGCTCCCAGGCACCACATGTGCGCCAGGGCCAGCAGGAGGCAGCGGCAGGCAGGGAAAGCGCCTCAGTGACACTTCGACGCGTCACTCACTGTCCGTGTGAGGATTTCTTAGTTGCAGCACCGCTTTTTAGCTGCAGGTGGCCGCAGTGAGTCGTTTAAGTCATGGCACATATGCTCATTTCTTAGTTGCAGTACCACTTTTAGTCTGCAGGTGACACTACTGAGTCACTAAATAGCATATATACGCAGTACCTCGTACTTATCACCAGGTGGCAGCAGCGATTTAAGTCCCAACCAAGATATCAGACTGTTTTGGAGTGACACACAAAACGCTTTTTGTTTGAATAGACAGAGCTATTTCTATTGCCTTCATAGAGATCATATTTTCTCCCATTTTCAAGCCCTTTCTTGTTTAAATTATATATACAAAAGGTACATTTTTATTTTCAAACGCTGTATATGTGTATTAAGAATTATACTCTTAAGATCCCGCATATAAAAGGGTCACATTTGGAAATCAATTTTTATAAAAATTATATATATATATATATATTTTATATATATATGTATAAAACATAAGAAAAGTTACTATTTTAACTACCCTAACCATTACCCCTTACAACTGCACCTAACCCAGCAACTCAGTATCTCAGGAGCAGTTCAGAGGTAGCTCCCAGGAGCCAAAGCTAGCCAGAGCCATAACTCCTGGCAGCTTTCATCTTGCAACAATCCTCCAACTTTCACAATTTTAGGAGGCAGAATCCCACTTTTAGCCCCAGGAATGTGACTGTGAATGTTAGCTCTTTTCCATAGGAAAGAAAGCCTCACAACCCACTGTCTCAGGGATAGTGGAGACACAGCCCCCAGGAGTCCAAGGCCAGCCAAAGCCTGGCAGATTTCATCTGGAAGGAATCCTCTGATATTCACAAGTTTAGGAGGCAGAATCCCATTTTTGGATTACAGTGCCTGACCACAAATTGATGACCCTTTTCCATATGAAGGAAAGCCTGGCAACCCAGTGTCTTGTGGGCAGTTGTGTTCCAACCCAAACCACTCCATGACTCTATGACTGGGAGTGCTTCAAGAAGTCCTGCTGAATGAGTTCAGGGATAGGGGTGCCATTGCAGGCCAGTAACTGCACCATCATCCCAGTGCCTGTGGCTGGGCATGGGTCAAATGGCCCTTTCTAGGTGTGGTGAGAACATCCTGAAAAGAAGTTGATCTTTCCTCCTGAATGTTTGCAGCAGAACACGGAAATGAAGTTGATGCTAACATAAATGCAGGTTTTATTTATCTGGGTCTGCAGCTGTCATGAGCTCCATCCATTTCCTGCTGCTCAGTCTTTTAGTCAGTGCCCAGTTCCCCACACTCTCCTCCCTGACAGTGCCCAGCACCATCCAGGATTCAGGGTCACCATCGAACACAGGGCAGCCGGATGACTCAATGTGCATGGCACAGGCATAGCCCTGTGAACAGCCTGCTTGGTCATAAACACACAGGATGTGCATCTGGATCTGCACGCCAGCCCCAGAGCCACAGAAGTGACGGGCACACATTGAGCTGATGGCATCAGCTACTCTTTGTTCTAAAGCTACTTTCTCCACATTACTGTGGGTCCCAGTGACTTTACCGTTGTCATCCACACCAAAAAATAAATATCCACCCTCAGTGTTTGCAAAGGCAGAGATGTATTTAGGAAAGTTTTTTTCTGATGTATTACAAGCTACTCTTTGCACTGCATTCCTTAAATTCAATATGGGTTGCCTGTGTGAAACCCAGGACCTCCCCAACCAGCACTTCATCTTTCTTTATAAACCTGGCCACAGTATCTTGGATGTTGTGCTCTTGGATGTTCAGAGGAGTCTCTTTTGCTCCTTTGCTCCCCCATCAAAACTCAGCTGAGCTCTCTTGGCAGTCAGTCCATTCTCTTTGTGGCACTTGACACAGTTTTTCTTCCTCAGGAATTCAGGAGCTTCTCTGGAAGTCACAGGATAAACCAATATGCCAGACCTATAAAACAAACCAGTGGTTAAGCTGCAGAGGTGCAACTTTGTGGCTGCACCTCCCAGCTCCGGCCCTCCACAGCTCCATGTTTTAACAAAAAGCAGCAGGTTACTCCCCTGCTGCATCCATGCAAAGTATGGATGAGCCTTGCTTCTGCCAGTGCAATTCCTGAGGCTCGTCTCTATGTCTCCACAAATGCCATGCTCCCAGAAGAAGTAATTCTTGTCCTCACTCTCCATTCTCAAAATTCCCCCTCCTGAATTCAGCAATGCACACACTGCTATGGAAAAGACTTTTTCTGTTTTCTAATTGCTAGACTTCTTCTTTCTGGAACTCTTTCCTAAAAGTGTTTTCCCAATAACTACCAACACATCAGGATAGTTTGTGGTCAAATCAATCAGCAGCTGCCTCTCCTGGCTGGCAATCGTGATCCTGAAATGATATATTATTAAAACCACTTCATGATTATCATAGAATTGTTAGGGTTAGGAAACCTTTCTGAGACCATGGAGTCCAATTGGTCCCATAGCACTGCCAAGACTACCACTAACCCATGTCCCTCCCTTCGCGCCACATTTACACATCTGTTAAATCCCCTCCACAGGTGGTGATTCTACCACTGGCCTGGGCAGCCTGTGCCAGAGCTGGAGAACCCTTTCACCGAAGAAACTTTTCCCTGATGTTCAATCTAAATCTCTCCTGAGAAAACTCAAGACTGTTTCCCCTCAAGCCTCTCCTTGTTCTGTGGGAGCAGAACCCAACCTCACCTTGCTTGCACCCTCCTGTCAGGGAGTTGTGCAGAGCAAGAAGGTCCCCCTTGAGCCTCCTTTTCTCCAGACTGAGTCTCCCAGATTCTTCAGCTGCTCCTTATCAAACGTGCTCCAGACCATTCCCCAGCTCCACTACCCTTCACTGGACATGCAGAGAAGGGCATACACGCAATATCGGGACCAAGAAAACTTGGGAAAAAGGAAACATTGGAAAATGAAAGTGAAAATTAAAATAATTTATTACAAGGGCAGGCAGGTCTGAGCGGGCTTGGTGCGGAGGCCGCGGGTTAACGATGGGAATTGCTTGGGCGCTCTGGCACTGCTCTGAAGTCCCGTCGAAAGCACATCCCCGCCGCCCGAAGCCGCGGCCGATTTTTCCCGGCCCCCGCGGTCCTTGAGGGCGAAGAGCCCCGCCCCGCGGGCAGAGTCCCTTGGGTGGGCGGGGGCGGCTGCGGAGCGGGCAAAGCCCCGGGCCGGGGCTGCGGTAGGAGCGGCTGCGCAAGGCTGAGGGGCCGTCCCGGGCTCCTCTTCTCTCCCCCCCGCCCCCAGCCGGCCCTGCCGCGCGCTGCTGCCGCCTCGTCTCCGGCTCAGGCCCGTCCTCCGCCGCTCCAGACAGCGTCGGCGACCGGCAGGGAGGAAAGTGTGGAGAACGGGGACCGGGCGCTGACCCAACTTCCCGAGGAATCGGGCTCCGGGCCGGCTCCGTGGGCGCCGCAGGCGGCGAGTGCCAGCACAGGGCTCCGTTTGGCAGAAACTTCCCTTCCCTTCTCTTCCCACACGGTCCCTCCCCACCCGGCCGACATCGTGCTCTGCATCTGTATTTCAAACAGTTTAATTTTAAAAATATTCTATTCAGTGCTAAAATAACTTTCCACTTCCACGCGCGGCCGCGCCTCCAGCTTCACCAGGCTCGATCACGGACTCGGCGGGACATGCAGTGGCAGCGGGGGGAGAGTGGGGCTAGGGGGGCAGCGGGTATTGGGGGGCGGCAGAGCCCCAGGGCGGGAGCGCTTCCCGGGAGCTCCAGCACCCTGCTGCTTCCTTTCCCACCTCGGAGATAGCGGGTACCTAGGCCGGGGCAAGGCCCTCCAGCATAGGGCAGCGGCTCCTCCTGCTCTGCAGGCTGCCGGGGGACTGCAAATTCCACTCGGCTGGAGCTGTGCCCCGAGGCAGAGCCAAGGCCGGTCAGTACCTGCCCTCTGGGAGGGGAAAGCGCTCCCCTCTCTCCCAGCATGAATGGCTTAAACTAGCAGCTTATTGCACAGCGTCCCAGGGGGTCCCTGCCGGCCGCTCCCTCACTGCCCCCCACACCCATCATCACCTGCTCCCACAACCGAGTGAAGACATCACCCAGAGCAGGTGGAAGGTGCCTCTCCTGTTCCCAGCACCCAGGGGAAGGGCAGGCAGGGGAGCCACAGGCAGGCAAACAGCATCTGCCAGTGTCCTGGGGACCATGGAGAGCAGGGAGCCCCATGGAGAACCCCCCCACACATGCAGCCCACCCAGCAGAGAGCCCCAGCTCTAGGGCAGGGAGCAGGGAGAGAGGGAGCCAATAAATAGAGGCAATTTTGCAGGTACTGGCAGCAGCCCCATCCATCGGGCAGGGCAGGATAGGGCAGGGCAGGGCGCACTTGATGTGAGTGGTGGGAGCCCCGACACTGGGGAAGGGGCAGGCTGAAGGGAAGCGCTGGTCCTGGGGGGCCAGGTGGCTCTGCAAGGGGCTGGCAAAGGTGCCGGGCCAGGCAGGTTAGCTCTCCGAGACTGTGTGGCACACAGAGTTCTGGTCAGCACAAAATCTCTTCAGAGGTGGCGCACCAGAGTCCTCATCCTCTTCAGTTACCTGCAAGAGCCAGAGGTCACAGGCAGTGACACTGAGCTACGCACACCTAGACAAGGCTGTGTCACACTATGGGGACAGCCCAGGCTGTCACCCATGCACAGGCTCCAGGGCACCAGGAATGTGAACCCACTCCAGCCCTGCAGCCTGCCAGAATTGTCATTTTCCCACATTCCCATATCCTTCCCTCACACTCCAACACTTGATCTGAACCAAGGAATAAAGACTAAAGCTCAGGAAACCATGAGGTTCTGGGAGCTCCCGGGGGCACTTCAGGACTGCAGAGCAAGTCCATCCACCAAGATGCTTCTGCTACAAGAAGCAGCAACAATGGTCAAAGGGCCAATCTAGGTCCATGCACATTTAGAGATGGTTTGAATCCCCCTTCCCTTACCTGAGTCTCAAGGGGGACTGGCTCTTCCTTTGTGAGAGTGGGAGGCTCATCTGCCACTTCTGAGGAAGGCAGGGAGGGCTCTGGGGAGAACAGGTGGGTCAACAAAAATGCAGACCCCGCACCCAGGTCAGTGCTGACCGAGGACAGAACACCTAGCTAAAGAAGTCCCCGATGCCCTGTCAGCTTCCAGCAGTGACATGGCCACCCACTGAACCACCATGTTCCCTGATAACACCCATCTGCCTCCTCCCTTCTTGGCCCAGCACCCACCTTCCAGGGTCTCCTGCCCCAGGGTAGGAGGCTGTGAGTCGTCTGTGCGGAAGTCAGACGTGTGGGCAGGACTCATGGACTCACTCTGCTGAGGACTGGGGCTGGAGTTGGGACTGCTGTCCACCTTGAGCTGGTATACATCAGACAGGGAGCTCTGGTTGCTGTTCTCATCTGCAGAAACAGCACCTGGTGAAAAAGAGCACCTTGACGCAGGGGCACAGGCAGCTCAGGGTGGCACTGGAAGCTGGGGTCTTGCTGAGAAGGCAGAGCACGGTCAGAGAGTTAAACAGGGGATTCACTGTTCCACATCAGCCTAAGGGCTGTCAGGCACAGGACTGAGTCTTCCAGAACACAGTGGGAATCATATACACAACTGGCCATGGGAGAGGGAATGTTCCTGCCCTGGGAATGAGAATGAGCACTGCCAAATCCCACTTCTGCAGCTTGGGAGGGCCCTGGGCATCCAAGAGCAGGAATCTCCTGCTGTGTACCATGGTTTTGTTCCTCCTCTGTGAAGCAACACAAGGAATAATGCTCAGCACCAGTGAAGAAGCAGGCCTGGCACACACCTTGCCAAAGTGCAGACCTGCAACATAACCCCACCGCATCTCCTGGGAGCGACAGCAAATTTTCCTTAGCCACACACAGAACAGGTGCTGGGCAGATGTGTACACTACCTCAGCAGTGAAACCTCTCCTGGCTGTACCACAGTGCCTAGACCAAGAGCAAGGCCAGGGACAGCCTTTGCCCCTTCACCCTAAGGTCCATAACTTTTGGAAAAGCAAGCTTGGCCGCAGGTGGCTATTGGCCTCTCCCCAGCAGAGCATGGAAAGGGGGGATCAGGAAACCCCACTTCTCCAGTTGGCTGTGAAGCTTCCCACAGAAGATACCAGAAACAGCCCATTAAGACTCTCTAACAGCAAAAATGAACAGTTTGGACAGGGACAATCCAGGAGTGGATCAGCCCAACTCCACAGCTCAACTTCATTGTTCTCCACTCCATGCCACTGCTCAGAGGCAAGCACTGCTCTTCCCCATACTGGCAGCACACAGAATCAACAATGTCCCAGCTGCTGTACAGCCTTGGAGTCTTTCCCCACGTTGAAGGGAGCTCAGCCCAGACCCACCTTGGAACTCCAGAAGGAGGGAGGAGTTGGCAGAGGTGTCAGCTGGGAAGCCATTGGGTTCTCGGGCCGTGCTGCTACTCGATTTGGATTTCTCTTTCTTGAGGAGAGAAGGAAAAGCACAAACACAATGTCAGAGAAACACATGCTGCTCCAGAGGAGCCATTCCCCTTTCTGTCTCCAGAAGCCCAGAGGGATGTGCTCAAGCTGGCCTCTTCCCTTGGCTTTGGGGGCACATTCCTAAGTGAGAGACAAAACTCCGTCTACGAAGGGCCTGGGAATCAGGAAAGAGAGGAGGAGCTGATGCCCATCTAGGAATGACACCAAGTAAAGCAAATCCTCGGAGAAGTCAAGCAGAAGCAGGAGGGGTCTCAAGAGAGCTCAGGGGGCTCGATAGTTCAGAGGAGGCTCAGGTTTGCTGAAGGGGCTTTTTGGGGCTGGGGGGTGCCCAGGAGCTCATGGGGCTTCAGAAGGGTTGGGTTCAGGGGTCGGCTTGGGGAGGGATCAGGAGCTTGGAGGTACTCGGGGGATCTCGATAGGGCAGGAGGGGCTCGGTGGGGCCTCAAAGGTGCTCAGCAGGGCTGGGAGGGCTCAGGTGCTGGCTTGGGGAGGGCTCAGGGGTCTACCTGGACGGGACACAAGGGGGATTTGGTGGCATCCGGAAGAACTGGGGAGCTCGGAGGTGGCTCGGGGGGCTTCGGTGGTCGGTAGGGCTGGGGGAGGCTCAGAGCTCAGCTTAAGGGGGGTTGTTAATGAGCTAGGCTGGCTGTGGGCGGTGGCTCCCGGCTCATCCCCACAAGCGGTACCCACCTCCTTACTGTCCGCCACTGGCACCCACTTGAATATCCGCAGAGACGTGTCGCCCACCGTCACCCACTTCTTCTCCCTGCGGGACACAACGCTGACGGACCGGACCGGGCCTGGGGCACCATGGCAACAAAACCCGCCATCCCGCCACGCTCTGGTTGGCCCAGACGAGCGTCAGTTCAGCACCGCGCAGCACTCCCCCCCCGTCCCCCGCACTGTGATTGGCTGGGCTAACCGCCTTTCACAGTCGCTTCCCTCCCCGCCACGCTCC